CACAGTGATACCGGCAGGTTAAAAAAGTAATAGACGAGATAGACCAATGTCTGCGTGTAAGAGAGGTAAGCGCCGTGTCACACCTTGTTTCCCTCCTCTGGTACTTCTGCCTCTCGGGCACGGGAAGGGTGCACGTGTGCGCGCACACGCTCAAGAGGAAAGCTGGCCTGGGAGCCGTGAGCTGAGGCAAGTGGAAAGTGGGATGGGGAGAATTTAATCCCCGCTAGTGAAGAGAGGAACGTTCCCAGCTGTGTGCTTTCCACAAGGCCTTGTGTAAAAAGACCCAGCAGACGCCGTAAATCCTATCTAAAGAAAGTAAACACTGAAAAAACCACCGAACAGGATCTATGCAGCTGTATCCAGGCACACGTTTTTTAAATTACCTGTCCTGTATTGCGCTGTTGATCTTTGAGCATCACACAAGCAACCTGGCTGCAGTGATGCGGATACAGAACTGTAAATAATCGCAGGTGTTTCATCAGAAAAAAAGATTTGAGTTATTTCTGTTTAAACAAGTGCTTTGCACAGGAGGGCAAAAGGTATGCGGTAGTATTTCAGCAATCTCCAGGATGTCAAAACATTCCTCGAGTTCCAGGTTAAGGGGGGAAATCTTGGCCTTAGTGAGGTGTTCTTCAAATATTATGGCCCAGCTATGGATGAACCCGACTGTAAGCAAATCCTGCTATGGATTGATAGGGTTTTGTTATTGCACAGACGACTTCCACATGCATGCAACACTCTTAACCAAGCCGAGACGTACAATGAATTGCACATTTGGCTTCTTACGCTAGCCCAGTCTTGTGGAAGAGATTTAAATGGCAAGGCAGGGGACTTGGAGCACCATCTGAGACCAGGGTCTGTAGATAAAGAGAGAACACAGCGCTTTCTGTTTGCAATGCTGTTTATTTTAGAAAAGCCCCTTTGATCATCTGAATGAAAAATGTGGGCAGAAAAGTCACAAATGTTATAAAACAAAGTTTATTCTGCAATATTTTGTCATAATGAATTGCATCTCTTTGGTAAAAATAAACTTTATAAACATTTTAATTAACAGAGATTAGCATACAAAAAACTAAACTTCTGTAAATCGTCTTTAAAATGGGTAAAGGACTAAACTGGAGGGAAAAAGGGTTAGAATTGGTCACCTACTGGCAAAATTATTCTAAACAAACCCAAGAACATTGCTTATGCTACATTAGAGACAAGCTAATGGGAACAGTTTAAAAACAACTCTGGTTCATTTGATCAGAAAGTATTCTTACAATTCACTTTTAAATAAATAATAGTTACAATGAATTGGCAATTATAAAATGTTTTATATCACTATATGGCAGTAACATAATACTTTTAATTATGCACTTTTTAGTTTGAAGAAATGTACATTTATAAAACAGACTTGATAATGGCACTGGCAGTTAGGTGTGAAGAATGTGCTTTAAGATATAACGGCGGGTGCAACATTTAAAATATTCTACCTTTTCTTTTCAATAAATATTTTGACTACACCATTATTAACGTGTATGAGTGTACTTCGCTTTAACCAAACCTTGTACTTATTTTTCAGGCTGATGACAAATTGCGAACCATACAACTTCCATTTTACAGTCTGATTTTAAAATGTTTGATGTGACTTTTGCAAAACCGCTAATTTAGTATTGGAGTCCGAAAGGCCAATACAGGTTCGTACAGTATTGACATCAGATTTACCCTGAACAGAGCAGCCTCCCTTGTACACGGGTCTCATACACTTCTTCACTGTATTTAAAGAATTGAATGTGGCTCATTAATACTTTTCTTGCCAAAATATATCCGAGTCAACCATTGGCATGAACATTTTACGTATGTCACTAAAAAAACCCAAAAACCCCACAATCAAAATAACTTTTAAGTATACTCCATTTATACTATATACACCAGGGTCTCTAACTGAGGTGGCAAACAAACCCAAACCCAGTGCTAGGTACGTAAGCGAAAGGAAGGGCAGCTATTCTCCCGCGACCAAGAGGGGTGCTCCGCAACTGAGCTGGAGGCCTTTGCCTGCCAAAACGTGGGGGCAGAGGCATGGAACAACATGGTAGAATGGGTCAGGGGCACAGATCGGCTGCCTTCTCCTTCGCAAAGAGGAGAGGGAAGATGGCAAAGGGTGGAGAGCGTGGCCCCGCTTCCCCCCTTCCACAATTCCAGTTCTCCCAGGTTGAAAGCTGTAAGGACAGATGCAGCTTTCACCGTTAACTTCTGATTAGTATGGTTTTATTGCTCATTGCATATGGCAATTAAATGCATTGTTAGCATCCCAACCCCATCCCTTCGGAAATGCTGAAGTCCTCATCACCAACTTCAGGGTTAACAGCAGCACAGCCACACCCCTAGTAAGTATTAACCTTCTCAAACTTTATCCGAGGCAAAAAAATAATTCGGAACCAAACCACAGAGCTGACTATGACCGCAGTTTCCAGAATACTCGGACCTTGATCCAGCTTCCACTGGAAGCTACAGAAAATC